AAACTCAATTAAATAAATGTAGCAAATATATATATATATATTTTAATAGATTTTTTATATTAATAATATTGATAGAGTTTTTCACATCATTTTCTAAATCGTACGAAAATGAATGATAGAAATGAGTAAAGTGATATTTTCTGAACACCGCATGTAAATGACGTCTCTGTCGCATAATTAAATTTTAATAACCCGACGTTTAATATATTCACGAGCGTCTCGAAGGAAAGCCAAAGGTCTAATGTCGGAATACCGTTTTACCAGCAACACGTGGTGAAACGCGAAGAAGCCGCGTGCTCAATCGCGTATCGGCAATCGACAGTCCTCAAGCACTCTGTACATACGTAAACAAACGTGTGGCCACGAGCGAGAGCGGAGTCACGCGTGCGCTCGCTCGTGGCAATCGTGTCGATGTTAATTAACGATGCATTAGACGCGCGCGAGCAAACGAGTTACACGCGGATAAGAAGCACCGTTGTTGTCGTCGCCGTCGTCGAGAGGAAAAACATAAACAGATAAATTGCGCACGCGCGTGAATCTCTTGTCGGGACTTTAATAGCGCATTACGTTTCCTGCGAGTCTTGTTTTGGCGAGAGTCTCGGCTGCTTATCGGCTACGGCTCTAATAATATCATTAATTACTCCGATAAACACGCGCGATCGAGCGGCGACGAGAAAGAGAGGCTCCGAAACGATTTACTTTATCATACAAGTCCGTGAGCGAGAAAGCATGATAAGAGCTTAATGGAAACGATAATTTCGGGCGATACACACGGACGTGGGCAATGAGCAGGGAGAGTGTGCGAGTCGCGATTAATCTTTCACTCGCGAAAACGCGCGGAAGCGTAATCGTTTCAACGATTAAACGCATGCCAAAGTACGCGCGGTGTCGACGATATGGACGCCGTCGCGTATTTTCGCCCGCGAATTCCGTTAATCTCGCCGCTTGCGAAACGCCGGACGGGAATGGCCTGTCTGCGAATACCTTGTGATTTATTAAGCACGGTGACCCCACGATAATCGGAAGAATTCGCCGCCGTATTCGCGCGCCGTAAAAGCCGATGCGTCAAAACCGATTAGTCGTGTCCGGCTATGGACATGACGGATTCGTGATCATAATGACGCAAGCCGGGGATGATAGCATCTGCGATGTTTAGACTACGATTAATATTGAAAAATCTGTCGCAACGTCGTGGAATTTTTTCCTGTTTCGATAAGACGCGGAAGCAAAGATTTCTTACACATAGAGAAAGAGGAACATTGCGCAAATAAAATAAATATATGAAATAAATCGAACAAAATAATATAAACCGATGAAAATTAATTTCACTATTCTACCCAAGTCTATGATATAGATAACAATGAAAATGATAAATATATTGTAATATTTTTATCTTCCATCTATTATATATCTATCTCTACAAATTTAATGCTGTCTTTTAATTTAAATCTTGACTGTATATATGTAATTTATATTCACATATATATCTTGCTTTTTGAAATATTTAAAGAGATTTTTTATAAATCCCTCTTTTTCTCTTCCTTCAAGTCTTTTTTAAATTATCCTTTCCTCTCATATGTGTAATAAATCGATTATTATATTTTTTAAATTAAAATATTTAATTTTAAATAGTAGTGATATATCGCTAAAAGATATTAGCGAAATAAAATAATTGTATTTATAAAAATTGAAAACTTATCGTAGCTCGGATGGAATTTATTGCGAAATAAGAAACATTGTAAGAAACTTCTGTTATAAGAGACTGTGGCAAGGTATCAAATAAAAATCGCGATACTCGGCGGTTATTGATATTGCCTTGAGCGCACGTGACAAAGAACAAAGTAAGCGAGAAGGCAAGAAAAGGCAAAATCGGCGAATAGACGGCCGTTTATTTTTTCACGTGGTAAGGATTAAAGACACCATCGTCAGGCTGACAATTCAGCCTGAATTAATCGATCGGATTACAGACGATCGTTTCGTTGCGGTGTTTGCGAAATCTAAGCCGACAAGACGAAGAGACGATGAAGCGATTATTCTCGGTCCGCGAAGGAGCGCAAGGACGACCGAAGGCGCAGCGACCGACCGGCCGGTCGGTCGGCCGGTGTCTCTCTTGCATTCCTACTCTCCCTTTTTCTCCTCGGCCGATCTTCCGCAGGGTGACCGACCTCGACGTCGCGTCTCGCCGACGTCGCGGTCAGGCCGCCGATGAGAGAGATGGCACGGAGGGTCGGGGACCACGTCAACGGCCGGTTTTTTTGCCGACTCGACGCAAGCTGCGGACGTTTCAGCCACGTTGTCGTTGATAACGCGTGCGTGAGTCCGAGCACAACGTAATCGGGATACCGATTCCCGACGAGCGTGCGATCCGCGATGTAGCGCGTCTCTTCCTCCCGTGTTATTGCCCCGCGACGATGGCGCCTGGAAGGATCGAACTTGCCCGAGGAAAATCGAGAAAAATGAGTCGCAAAAGCGCAGCGATATTTTAATGATTGAAATGTGTCAAATCTGTAATAATTTAATAAACAATGTAGATTTCATAATTTATCTTAACCGACTAATATTCAGATTTATTTATATATTGCAGAAAAATATAAAATCGTTTCCGTAGTAAAATAATCAAGAATATTTAAATATATTATTTAATGCAAAAGTGTATTAATTTTGAAGATACACTCCCGAAAACATAAGAATCTACTTCATTAACAATAATCTTTGCGAAACGAAGAATATAATATTAAACAATTTTGAAAAGCTTTTTCTTATTCTCTCAAGAGACTTTTTTTGTAACGTGTCCTTTTTGCAATATATATAACCATTAAATTGTGTACTCGAAATTCCTCTTTACAATGAGCCAAATTTTTCGGAGGCTATCGAGTTGGCTCATCTTTTATACATACCAGTACGATGATACTGTAAAAAGATTTCCCCCATATCATCGAGGAGGGTTCGATCTCTATCGATCGAACTGTGGAACCGAGCGCGATGGTGTTTACGGGAGAAAACGGGGGAAGGAGAACGAGAAAATATAACGATGGCGAATGCATCCGACGGGTACGTTGGCGTTAACGAGCTAGAAAACTAGTGGAGATTTGCCCGCGAGCGGATTACGGTCACGTCTCGCGGACGATAATAATAATAACGTGTAATAACGCTATCACGCGCGATCCGATTATATCGCGACGTAGTTATCTGGAAGCGCACAAACTGCGCAAACTAGCCCTGTCTCTCTACGATTACAGTAGAGTCGATGCTGTGGTTGTTAAGCACATAATAATAGGCTACCACTGTCAGTTATCAATTTTATAATGTATATAGTTGGAGAATAAAAAGAAAATTCTCCAGGTATATACATTTTTCACATCATCATACATATTCATACGCGTTTATTTTAATTTCTGCCATATATATATTCATGTATGATATACAGACTTTACCTTGATTATTTATAATTTAGACATTATTAAAAATTGATTAAAAAATGCGCAGCTTTATTAAGTAAAAGTTGGCTCCAAATTCGGATCCATAAATAATAACTTGGTAGATTTGCGTCGAGTAACTTGCGATTTATACTACAACGTCGAGACTGTTAAGTCTTTCGAACGTTGCATACAAACTACGTAGAAATCAGCTCGAATTCCGTTGGCCGATTAAGCGCGCGCCGTTGCTCGTTTTCATAATGACAATACGACCGGATAATGAGAGAGTCCGCGCCAGATGAATCAGCCGTCGAGCCATTTACCGCCCTTTCCGGCGAGACGAATGAGTCCGCGTAAAAGTGGAATCTTAGATGTATTGGTTTAGATATGCATAACAGCTTAACACTTAATCTCTTTTAACTCTTATCTCTCAAGTTTGTGAGTCGATGTTGTTTGCAGCCACAAACAAATTTTTCACAAGACGGATTCCGTAACAGACGGTTCAAGTACGCACGATTATAACGGCAATCATTTTCTTATGCGATAAATAACATTTTTGAAAATTTTATCTATCCATTGCAAAAAGTTATCGCGAACATGCGTGTGCACTAGCTGATATATTGCATACTTTTAATGCGAATTTAAAAATCTGATGAAAAATAATATCTCGTATCATGCCCATATTTAATTAATATTAAATACTATCTGGCTAATGTGTTGCAATTTATCGGTCTAATTAAATCTAATATGAGGATTGCATTCTACGTCAGCATGAAAGAAGAGAATCAGACAGTCATATTTAGCGCAGTGAGAATGTGGAGCAACGTTTGCATTAATTAATCGAGGCCACATTAAAGGTCTCTAAAATATCCATACCACTATGTAATCGACTGCGATAGGCTAATTTGGATTTTCAGCAGTTCACATTTAAATGAATCATAACGCGATACTTCGGTAAAACATATCTTTTATTTTATATCGTCGATAAATATATGATGCACCACACTATCAAAGTGGCTTTCAATACGTCGAAGACATATTAAATATCCTAACCCTTATTATTAATAATCCCTTATCTTGTCTATATCGTGTCATACACAAATGGAAATTTATAGCTTTCGTGTTTTTGTTATAACATTTTCAAAATTGCAGAATTCGCGATTGTCACCGCATCTCGATCGTACCAAAAGTGCAGATAGACGTGAAGTCAACGTGTTCTCTCGCTCTCTCTTTCTCTCTCTCTCGCGCGCTCTCTCTTTCTCTCTCTCTTTCTCTTTCTCGTTGCGGAATTCGCGACGGTTTTACGAGCGAACGGGGTATGAAACAGCGACGACGTAACTCGATGACGACTCGGGGACGACGGGTGGTCGCGTATATGTATACGACCGTCCCGTCCCGTCCCGTCCCGTCTCGCCCCCCGCTTCGTTCTGTTCCGTAGGGACGTCAATCAATGCCTTTTCAGGAGATTGCGTAATCGTCTAGACTAGCCGGCCACAGCGCGTTTTATCGCTCTTATCGACTTCGTCAAGGACGGGATTGCGCGCGCGGCAGTCAATGGCGGTGACGAGCGCGACACACCGGGGATATTATTACGTCGTTGAGAGATGCGTGTAAGCGTAATCGCGTAGGTAGGTAGGTACGCACGGATATCCCGTCCATGATCACGAGGTATTGGATAACGTCTCGCGGATCATAAAGCGCGATCGCTGAGGATGTCCGTCGACGCGAAGACGAGTGAACCGGTCGACAGCCTTTTCGAAACGTCGAATGTTCATGTGGTACGTTTCGTCACAGCGCGAGAGATATATAAATGTAATAGTGAAGTAGTTGTCTAGCATAAATGAATATAAATATGTCGAGTGACTCTTTATATGAATTTAGAAAGATTAAAGAATAAGATTAGATGCTCAGCAGTGTACGTTCGGCGTTATTTGACATTCTTCGAGCGTCACGTGTACGGTCCACGTAATCTGACATTTCTTTCCAGACATTGTGTAATTGACAACAATTATATTTACTCAGTTATCGAGTTGTCTCCAGCTTAACGATTATATTATCAGCACTTGATCATAATTATTGTAGCTGAATAGATTATAGAATAAGATTAATATCTATGATAGGAATAATATCTTATTTTTTGGAGTTCCTTGCTATTTTTTCATACGTAGGTATTAACTTTTATACTGTCCATTATGTGTGAGGTACTCTAGAGAAAGGTTGTACTATCGCGGTAACACAAGGGAAATCTCACATGCGCCCTAACGAGTAACTTTTTGCGAATGTATAGAATTTTTCATGTTTTTTGGACATTCTCGGTACGTCGTTGCTCGTTGTAGACGCGATTGCAGTCGCTGACTCATGAAACTTTCCAAAAGTTTCGTCAGCCACGAAATATCTTATACCTTTATCGCCGGTGAAACATAATAACAATTATTACTGCATAGCCTGTGCAATAGAATCTAAAATGCTTATATCTTATAATAATGTCATCTTAATAATCGATTTTCATCTATTATCAATTGTTGCAAATGTAGAACGTGCCATTTTTATGCCATATTAATTTTTAATAATAGACTTTTGACTCCTTATTTATATAAAAATTTATGTTTTTCTTTCTTCCAAAATATCTTGAGAAAACTCATTATTTCACAATGTTGAAATTTATATCATATGTAGTATCATATATAGTATCATATGTAGTATCATATTTATATCAGTACGTAGCATGTATAATCTATTTATTTTTTTAATTTGAAATCCATTTTGAGAGTAATTTAAAAATATAATCTTTTCGTCTATTTCCTTCTTAAATAGAATAAGAGTAGATTCTCGTTGTATTTTCTCCTCAAATAGAAATTCTTCGCTTCGACATTTTTGTAGAAGGAAGAAACACCGATTTCACAGACTGGCCAAGGAAATAAAAAAATAACGTGAAAGTGGAACACCTTGCATAGTACAAAACAGCGATAAGTCGTAAAACCTTTCTGATTCGGAAAGGCGAGGGAGGGAGAAAGGGAGGCGAGGGAGGGAGAAAGGGAGGCGAGAGCGCTACTTTCTCGTATCAAAAAAATATTCCCCTTGCTAGAGCGACTGAGACCAGCTCGTAAATAAAGGTCCGGTATTCCTACGAGGATTCTCGCCTGACTCGTCCGCCGACTGAGACAAGAACGCGACAGGTCGTCCTACGAAGCTGTTTCGGGCCCCCGTATGCAAATCCCTTACCCGTCCTGTTTACTATTTTCGCGCTCGTGTCAAGCGACGAAGACGACGACGATGACGACGACAAGCGCGACCGCTTTGGTACCGTCCAAGAGGCCAGCGGGGACAACGACGAGACCGAGGTTAAGACCCGGTTACCGTCGGCTTTCGGGTCGCGGCCTCGTCCGGGGACTGGGACGAGGCTGCTCGGGGCCCGCTCCATAAAAGAAGTCACGGTCGTGGGCGCCGCCGCGTAAGACGACGGCGCGAAGTGTCGTCTCGTCCGCATCAATTCTAACCAGTCTCCGTCCCCCTCCCGCTCCCCTCCTCGCCCCTCGTCGTCTTTTTAACTCTCGGTGTCCTATCCGCTGTCCTATTCGAATTTCTCCTGTTTTCTGGCGGAATGGTTATTTTCGACGAGGACGAGTCATCCGTTGTTCGTTGTTTAAATTGGAATATCCTTCGCAACATTTTATGGAGAAATTATCCGCGCAATTAAGTCGTATACAATTCAATCTGAGAGATCGCGAAATTACAATCTATGAAGAAAGAAAATTTATGTTATCGGCATAAATCAACAAGAAACGGCGAGGACATAATGGAAACGCGCCGAGTTTATTGTTAGTCGCACTTATTAACGATGGTATTTCGCGAGTTTGCGCGAGGGCAGGTCCAATTAAGGCAAACGTTCGTCAGGGTTACCGTACGTTATAATGAATGCAAATGTTTTCATTATGTTAATCAACCTCGTTAAATCGCGCGACGGCCGACAATAGTCGGAAAAGTGCGATCGCATCATCGTTGCTTCGTGTCTGCTTCGAGAAGAAAGATACACGCGTTATTATCGGATTTTCTCGAATCGGTGCGATATGAGATACAGTGACGTAGATTTGGCAAGAGAGCAATATCTTTGACTCCTTTTCGTACCTTCATTAACCTGCTGCCCTTCTCCTCAGGGATCAAATTCGGATTAATGACATAATTAGCTGCTAATTAATTACTAATTTGTTAGTCTAGAGGAGTTGCTCCTGTATCAGCGAGAGAAATTGATATTAAAGTATCTTCTCACGCGCCTCGAAATAATATGCAAATTAAAAAAGAAAAAGATGGATATGTCGGAATATTAATTGACATCACAAATAAATGTCAAAATACACATTATCATATTAAGTATCCACATAACTTTAACATCAATTTCCTGTTAACGCGAAAGAGAATAATAAATTTGTGCAAGAAATTAGCAATTAATTAATATCTAAGCATATTGAGCGTAAATCCGAATTTGTGTATAATTTCTAGCGACGAAATACCACGGACGTTCGCTTCGTCGCGTGCCAAACGCGCGCAAACAGAACTGACCGCAGCTCGGAGATGATGTACGCGCGTTGCTTCGCGTATAGTATAGCTACCACCATGCAGCTACTTTTATGTCTCGGTCGGAAACGGGACCGGTCGCTGAACCGACACGCTCCTTGTTGATAAACAGTCGCGTCGTTCATCTCAGAATTAAGAGCTTCTCTCGAAATATGGTGCGCCGGAGATTTATACCGCGTTCCCGCGCGCGCTCTTCGATTCTGAATGTGTTGCCATTTCGCAATTTTAAATTTATCATGCGCTAGTGTGACGGAGAATGACAACTGGTGCTTATGTCTTCGCGACAGAAGAAATTCCTAAGTTTTATTTATACACGCGTACGCGCGCGTGTGAAGTATAAATAGCGATATTTCAATAGTAAACTGTGCAAACGTTATAATTGTATCTTAAATTATATTTTGTCACTTTTGAAGATGCAATAATTATAAAATCAAATTCAATTGTCGATTCATTTTCGTGTCTCTTGTACGTTGTTATATCTTTATGTGTCTATATATTTTGTATTTTTATTTTACATCTACAATTTCGATCTGTACAGCATTTATTTATAATTTGGCCTATTATAATAATTTTAGGTATAAATTTTATCTACCTGTATCAAAGAGCAGCAAGTAACAATCATTTTTACGCTTTTCAATTTAGCAATTTGCGGAAAATTCAAAATATTTCCAAATTAGTAAAATTATACTTGGACTGAATACACTTTGCGAGGGAGGATGTGCCATTATCGTCTTTTACGGAGCACCGTTGATTGCTTATTTTCATAGTCGGCAGCAGCTTAATTCGTCGCCCGGAACTCCGACGTGGAGCAATCGATAAATACAGGCGGACCCGGAGCTGAGAGAGAGAGAGAGAGGGAGAGAAATAGAGAGAAATAGAGAGAGAGGAAGCAAGCGAATCCGAAAAGTAGCCGAGAACGGACGCCGCCGGAAGGACCGCAGACGCGGCTTGCGGTGTGCGGCCTGCCCCGCACTTCTCACGGCTAGTCACTCGCTTCGCAAGCCACTGACGAAACTTGCAAGACTCGAGTGCGAAGATTCAAATTAATTCTCCGAGAGTATAGACACAGGGGGAATTGCTAATACAATCGAACCAGTCATTTAAACCGAAACGTTCAAAAGTATTTTAAGAACACCCAATCGCTTTAAGAGCGAGGCTTTTTTAAGTAAAGCTAATTTTGTCAGCAATAATTTATTGATAATCTACAAAGAATTTTCTGAATTTTTTATATTATAATTGAAGTATTTTTAGTTACAATCGAGTATCAAAGATTATTCTTTTAGCGTTTGAGGGTTAATTATTATTTGTGATTTATCTTCAAATTTGACATTCCATTTGATGTATTAATATATAAGGGTGAATATTAGCATTGGCGAGAGAGGAGATATAATCGTGGTTGAATAAAATACAATATATTACGAAAGAGAGAGGTTTCACGAAAAATTAATGTCCCACTCTCCTATTACTCTTGATACATGGCGGCTACGCCCTTGGCAGACGACCTCTACGCTCACGTAACGCCACCCTCGAGGCGCGTCGCTATAGAGAGCGCGAAAGAAAAGTAGGTCGTATCCGAGGGTTACCTGCGAGCAGCCTCGAGAACGATCAAAATCAACATCGTCGGGAGTGCACACGCCCGCCGTAGGCCCGTCGGGTGGTCGATTCGAAGGGCGGCTGGTGGTTAGCTGGATGTGTTTGGCTCGCCCATGAAGGACGGGGAGCGCGTCGTTGGGTCAGGGTCGCCGCCACGGGAAAGTCGATAGGGAAATCGGGCCGCCACCGTAACGGCGCGCCGGATAGTCGATATATCGGCCAACGTAGCGCGGGTCCTCCACCGGGAGATAATCGGAGAGCTCGTTACCGAGATATTTCGCACGCGGGACTTTCGCCTGTCGCGTTTGTCCGGGGGAGGATGTAAGAGGGAAGATTATATTCTCGACTCTCATCCTCGTCTACCCATCTCTCTGCGCAGATTTCCCTGTTACGCTACGATTATTTTCGAGCTGCGGAATTAAAATGTCGGCGAATTTATTTCTGGTCGAGTGGGAGGTGAAATATCGTTGGCATTTTTTTTATGTGTAATACAAGTTCCTCGATACGGGGCGTGGAAATATTTGTTACGTGCAATGTCGTGTTAATCGTCTACCATTAACCGCGATGCTACATTGTATCGTAGCGGTAGATAAAAATGACCTTTTTTTATGAGATTTTCTCATCATGTAACGCACTGTCACACGAAATTATTGACGCAAACGGATGTTTACGTAAACAAATAAAAGAGAAAAATATTATGTGACGAAGCAGCCTCGGATATTGCGGTGTTACTGAAATATACATTTTCTGTTTTAGAATTCCTTTTATCTGTAGTTTGTTTTTCTTTAGCACACTGCATATGAATCTACAAAAATTCATATTTATTTCTTTTATAGAATAGAAAATTGGAAAATTTTTCTTCTCATGTATTTTGATGTAAGCGAGATCAAGATAAAACATGTATCCTTCTGTCGTACAACGAGAAAAATAAAATAAGTGTGTTTGGTCTCCAAGTTAAAATAAACTAAAAGTGTTATTTTATTATCGATTTGATCTAAATTTTTTCACACGAAAAACGCCGGCCCTCGTACTTTCGTTAGACGTCGTCAATAATGCTTTCGGCGTTGGTATGTGTCATGACGTCAGCACGTGACGATACTCGCGTAGTTATGTCGTGGTTAGCACGTGCGCGTAGCTGTCAACCATTGGCGTAGCTTCGTTTCAAATTCCTTTCGTTTTGCTCCAAAAATCTCGAGATCGCAAATTAATCCTCTCACCTACAAGGTAATCTTTATGTATAAAATGAAACTTTATCCTTCTAGATAATATCACTAATATCATTTAACGAATCTTATACAGGGTGTCCCATTTTAATGTCCCGCCCCAAATAACTTTCTTATTTTTAATTTTAGAAAAAAATTTTACAGACAAAAATTGTATGGTTTCAAGGGGGACATAAGATGATGCCATTAGTTGGACCTTGAAGAGTCACATGAAGGTCATTTTGAATTTCTTAAACCTACCCCCTTGAATTTCTGGAACCTACTATTTTTCATTACATATTCTTATAGCTTATCTTATACATAAACCATAAAATATCTTGTAAAATATGCATTTTTCGATTATCTTATCTTAATACTTTTATGTACAAAATAATGAGAGAAATCAATTGGTGTAAAGAAAAAACATAGTTGTTTCGAAGAAAAGATATGGAATTGTTAATTGCAAATTACATATTTTTTCTTAAAAACAACTGTATGTTTTCTTACGTAAGAAATAAAGCCTGTCATGTAACGTTTCTTCCTTGCCTTGTGTTTCAGAGATCTCTCGTTACAATGTTAATATTCACCACGAATCATCTATCGAATGTTATCCTGCTTTATTTTTAACCAAAGTTCTAAGATCGTGAAACCGTATTTAGTACAGGTCTGAATTCGCGAGTCGCGGCGCTTTGCGGTCTCGCGATCTTATCGTTCGCGTTTTATCTCGCTGCTATTCGCATCGGCGGATGATGATTCACACGTAGGTCTAGACGTCGTTATATTTCCTGGAAAAGATAAATAGACACGTGCACCGACATATTCGCGTATCACGACGCTCGAGACGAAGGCTGCGCTATCGCGAATGAAACGTTGCGTCATCGGACGACCGGGCGATCGTTCTGTTATGTCATTACACGTATATGTTCTAGTTCCACCCGCAAGTTACAAATTCCCGTGGCACATATGGGTGCCACGCTTGCGAGCCTCCACCCGTTCCCAAAATGTCAATAGCCTATAAGCGATTGACGGGAAGTAGGTATTGTACAAGAGCCACTTATAGCACGCCTGTGAATAGCGTTTATTTTATACCAAGCGTTTTTCAAGCACATCTACCTCATTTTTACTTGCAGATTAAAGTCTGGCTTTTCCCCTCGTCAGAAACTTGATGACAAAGCACTCTCGTTGATAATCTCTCCTAAAGCTTTAATCCTTTTAATAAAATTTATTAAAATACTTATAAAATAGTTAAAAAAATATATTTAATTATATATTTTTATTGTCTCATATTTAGCAAGAAAGGATAAATTGGAATGTTTAATATCGATTGTTTTCTCTCTCTTTCTTTTCAAGACGAGATATCATTTTCAAGGGAAATAATATTTTCGCTAGATGACAGATTACAAATAAATCTAGTTTCGCTGATAGCGAGGTTTCGCAAAACACTGGAAACACGAGAACCGAGAAACCAAGCAACGTTATGAACAAATAATTCCGACGATCGCGGATCGAAACATTTCGCCCAAACGATTTGTCATGACGCGTGTTTATTCCACCATCGCGGCCGGAAATTTCAGCTCTCGCGATTTTGCGGTCGTGCCGGAATTCGCGAGGCGTATCTCGCGTGTATTCGCGGCTCTGCGTGTTTGCCACACGCCTCTCTCTCTCTCTCTCTCTCCTGGATTGTTTTCCTCTTGGTACGCGAGTGTTCTCGTTTTTACACGACTTGCTCCCGTTTTTTTTTATTTCCGCGTGGAATCGCAACATCGCGTCGATCGTGCCGCGCCGATTTTGGCAGCGGCGCCAATGCGCCGTACTTGGACGTCGCCCAAACGTAATAAATTGCAAATCAGGTCATTGCTTCCCCGCGCGCGAGTTTAACGTTACCCATTGGGGAAGCCTCCGGGTGTCGTTTGATTCGGCGGGATTTACACAGCGTCCACCATAGAACGTATACGTGGCGCATCGTCGCATCGCGTCACCTCTCTTCCTTCTCTCTCGTTGACCTCGCACCGTGGTTTAGGGTACATCCTCTCTCAACGATGCTCTCGACGCGACAGTAGATAAACATCACTGTCCGATATCGTCGTGCGCGATCGCGACACGCCGGCATTTTCCACGACGCAACGAAATGCATCGTGGAAAATACCATCGTGTGACGCAATCGACGTTAATTCTTTCTCTCATTTGTATTTTACATCGCTCACTCGTTTCATGTACTCTCGACTGTCGGGACTAATTCGCTCGCTTCATCATGATCGTCTGTGATGACAGAAATGCATAATAATGATGCTATTTCGAGATGCCAGACAAGGCCGAGATAGTATAACTGCGATTATACGTATGTCGGAAATGTTTTGATTATAGATGTGTTTTAACAGAGCGCGTCTAGAAAAAAGGAAAAAATCGATTCCGAGTATTATTATCTTATCGCAACCTGTCCGCGAGATTTTTCTTGCGGAATATAAAAGGAAGAGTGCAAGGTCCGAGAAAAACAACGGCAAGTCTGCGTATAGAAGTAACCAGAGACTGTAAAACGCTAGACATAACATTTACTCCTACTCCGATTTACTCCTCTTTCCCTTCTACAGTCGGTGACTCCGCTGTCTTAAAAGGTCGAGCGAAAAGTTAAAAATGCCTCTATCTAGAAAACACTTTCCGAGACAAAAAGATACATTATGCACAATCGATATTATATTAAATTCAAATTACCATTCCAAACAGCACAGCAACAATTAAAATAAGATTAATTTACTTATGATCAATTTTCTCTTTTTTATATAATTAATTTAATTTAAATTAGATTCATTGTATTAATCGCTATAAATGATAATTTTCATATCGAAAAAGAGAGAATATCGAAGGAGGAAATCCTTGTCGGGAATGATTTTTATGACATTGTATTCGCATCCTCACTCGATGCATCCTCATGCACGCGGGGGAGACTGCGCTTCGACGAGCACGCTCGCATGTGCCGCAATCTAGCGCGGATCCGGGACGAAAGATAAGGACGAGAGGATACGCGACGCGAGGAGGAGCGGAGAAAGCGGCACCGTCGATCTCCGCCAAAGAGCGGAGAGCGGAGTCGACATTGGCGTCAGCGCGCGCGCGAGAGGGGAAGGAGGGGTGGGGAGTCTAGTATAGTACGCCGTAATCTAATTTGCGATGCAATCTAGAATAACAATGGTTCGCGTCACGGCGGCGGCGGCGGCAGAGGAGACGGAAGGGACGAAACGTGCATCGCAACGTCTCGCAACGCCGAGAAGGAAAGACGGAACTTGCCGCCGACTCTCCTCGACGTAATCACGGGACCGGTAACTTCCAAATTAAGTTCCCGACGCCCGATGCCGATGGAAACCGAAGGAAGCGCGCGCGGTGGACCAACCGACAACGTCCTCCGGGTTTTGCCGAGGAAGGGCTTCGCCACCGATCGATGGCCCGGGATCCGGCACCTCTCGCCATCGGGACGATAAATGGGGTGTACTGAGATGCATTACGCTGCTTAGGCAGATTAAGATTTGATCTCGGGAAAATTGTCTAGAGACTATCCAAATTTATTTAGCGGAAAGAGGAATCGTCGTGTCGCGAAAACTTGATCTACATTCAACGGATATTTTCAAATGTATTTTTGTAAAATATTTTTAATCGTGCTAAATTATTTTAATATTAGGAAACATGAAATTAAGAAAGAAGGAAAATCTTTTCGTTATTGCTTTTCACACATCTTATGATAATAAAATATTACAATTATTTTATCGAGTTTTTCAATTAATACTTTTTCGAAGTTAGTATCTTAAGAAATATATTTTAAGAAAGAAATGAAGGAAAGAAGCAAAGATTATCGTAAATGAATGAATCAATGAATTAATGAATTTTATTATATTACGCGTGCAAGATCTATTTTATGCAAGTAAATGTATACATTATTGTTTAATACGAGATTTTCATTCGAAAACTCGCGAAATTAATACTATTGATCACGATTGTAAATGAAGTTTTGTGAATTATGTTCGCGTTTTTTCCAGATTTGTCTTTGTGTCGCGGTTATCGCGCACGTTTGAAATGATTGAGTCGGGACACCGAGACGGAAGAGAAAAATAGAGGAATGGCAAATTATATGTTGCTGCATAATTCCGCTTAAATAGAAAAAAAAAATAAATGAGTATCAAAGACACAGCTGCGCAGACTCGCTACCGTCGAGATAAGATATAGGAAGCTTTTTCCTAAACAGCCTTCAACGTTCCATGAATCGCATAATAATCTCGTCGAAGGTCGACAACGTCATCGATAACCACCTCCGCCGGATAGGAAATCGCGTTTTCTTTTTCCCCTTTTGACCTATGCATAGTTCTTTTTATGCTCGACAAATTATATATTATCGTGTTATTTGCAACGATAACGACGCATCTATTTTGTCTGAAGAAACACGCGCGGCTTTTGGATTCGTGACGCGCGATATCAAGAATGTGTAACGAGATCGACCGATTATTCGGCGAAATGCGACAGAAAGTAATAAGAACGAGAACCGTTCCGTTGGAATGCGATACGATTCGTTCGAGTCGTTATTTGTATAAAGAAGCTATTCGACGAACTCGGTCAAGTCTGCTAAAATTAGTACGACGTATACAGTTTCAACGAATACGCGGAAGTTTGCTTTCAAAGTTTTATTTCGAATGGCTTTGAGATAAATGTGATAATTCGCATATAAATCCGTCAATGACGCGATTTGCCGCAAATTCTTCTGTTATCGTTATAAATTCTTCTTTCTCCCTCAAAATATTCACTAACATTAGATATTTTATTTTTCAGAGACAGACAAATATATATGTGTGTGTGTGTGTGTAGAAGTAAACACTCGTACACATACCTTTTGATTGCGTGTTATTTTTTAGTCACATCATATATCGACATGTGTGACAGTAGAATATATCATATGGCAGTATTGGAATCAATCCACATGCTTTACGATTTTTGGTAATTTTTGGTGATTTTTGATAATTTCTCATAATTTTTCGTGCGAAAAGGATGCGTAATGAAATGATGCTCACCGGTGTATCAGGATGACGGCAATGATCCTGTAGCAGAAGACAGCGTTGTAACGGCGGTGGCGGTGGCTCCTCGCGACGAAGTCGATGACGATGATGGTGATGCCGATGATGATAATGGAGAATCGAGGCGGAAGAGGAGGAAGCAGAGCCGGGTGGGACCGGCTCGTGCACCAGCAGCCGACGATGATGAAGATGACGCGATATCGTCGCCAGGACACCCACCAGTGCTCCAATTATCAGCACGAGCGCCGCCGAGACGATATAGCCGCTCGCACTCACTGCGAACAGAAATCGGATGTTATAATTAGTTAATCATTTTCAGGAAGCTCATAATTTTCACATTTATTTATTCCATTACGATTTTTTAAATGGAATTATCGTATATTAATATCGAATTATTTGATATATAGGAAGGAACTTGATATGTATGGAGAAATTTTCTCTTTTGTAATGAATTTTATCAATATTTTAAACATATTTATTAATTTATTTTAGTCTAGTATTGCGCACAAAATGGCAATTTTTTAAATGCATATTGAAAAATTATTAATAAAATATATTTCATGTAAAGGCATCTAAATATTTATTATTTATCGAGTCATGTCAGTAAGTTATAATAAAATTAACTAATATATATACAAATATTTTTTAACGAACATAATTCACTTAAAGATTATAACTATTATAAGGGTTAAAGATATACAAAAATATTTTTCCCACCGTGTAATTTACCATACAGTATGTTTAAATTGTACATACATGCATATATGTGCAAATATACGTGCAATAATAATTCCAACAATACACCATGTACATAATATAAAAATGAGAATAAGGTACATTAAATGATACAGTAATGATGTGAACAAAAAAATGAATAATAATTTGTTACTCACAGAAATGTGTAACATAAGGATATAAATAATGTTAATACCGCTTGTATTCTGTCGCCTTGTGTCTCAGGACTAAGCTGTTAGAACTCAAACGATCGCGACGCGAGTAATGTCCTATGCACGGTTCGCCGAGTCGGCATACATATCATCGACACGTGGAAACGATTAAATGTCATTTTCCTTGCTGCTGCCAAGGACTCGGGAGCATAATCGCAGTCGTAAAGACGCGTCTCGCAACATAGACGAAGAACGAGCCGTCGTGTTATCAGTCACGTAATATCGTCTCACCGGAGCGTGTAGCTAAACGCACATAAATCAAAAGAAACATACGTATTTGGTATGATATGCGGTAATAAATCCGTTAAAGAAGCGACTAGTCATTAGTAACATCTGATTATACGATACGTTCATACTTGATTCCAAACAAAGTGTTAAACAAAGATCCTGTCTCCCTCTGGCAATCTGACAAAAATCTTTATTAAAATCTTCATAAAATTATTCATCTCTTAAATTATGTATCTTAATAGATCATGTATCTTAACAGTGTCACTAATAAAGCTAATTACAGACCCAAATGATTTTAGAAATAATTTTTTTACACGTTTTTAGAAAGAAGATTACTATATATCGTTGAAAAATTAATCTTAATGAGGTGATAAAACAATATTTTTCATGGCATTTAATTACATAAACAAATTTAGTAATGGAATTATTTTGATAATAAAGTTTTTTAGAAACATTAAAATGTAGATTGTATGGCATATAAAATTGAGAAATATAATTTAAGAAAGACAATATATGATTAATATTCTTTATTATATTAAATTCAAAATTTTTTTCGGTAAAAATTTAAACCATAGTCGAAATTGGCAGAGTATTTAATGCATCGAAGCTCAAGAAATTTTATAAAAAAAAAGACAGATTCGGGTCGCAGAAGGGCTGCATCATCCTTATCGAGATCTCGTAATCATTTTCGAGCATCGTACGATCTGATCGCGAAACGCGGCTCCACGAACGTCAACGTCGGCAGGTGCATCGAGAGAGATCGAACGGCCGTATGTTCCCTCTCTCCCTCGCCGGTCGCCTCTCGGTAGCGATCGCGGAACAACTTCTCGGTCTTCGGCTTCGTTCGACGCGCGATGGCCTCCGCCGCTTCCTTGTTTTCCTCCTCTTCTACCGCGTGGCAGGGATACGCGTATCCGTGCGCGTGTCTCGGGCCCCAGGGAGATATCGCTCGAATGCAACTCGGCGAAAGATCGATGACGAGATTGAGGGAGCAGAGCGAACCGCGAATATTTGTCAATTCGGCGATTTATCGATACTCGGGTCGCTTCCCCTAACCGTTTGTCCTTGCGATTCAATGAAACAGTTTGCTTTTTTTAAATTAATTTTTTTGATGAATTTTTTAAAAATGCGAGGGTAAAATAGTACTTTCCACGGTATTATTTGATTACGTTACAAGACTTAATAATGGCTTGAATTATCTTGATGAAGTTTCTAGAAGAATTGGAATGTAGGTTGTACGACATCGAAAATTAAGAAATAATTTACAACGAAAGTTGTGCACTTTGAAAACTTGTTTGTATCGAGTATGGATAATTTATTTCATTGGGCATTATATCACGTCGTTGTAGTAATTTCGAATATAATTTCAAAAATAATTACATTTCTCGTATATTTATTGCATAAAATTGGTTCTTAATGGAAACAAAATTGATGTGATTTTCCTCAATATGGAATTTACAGAAGAATTTAATTCAAATGAGTTTCAATTCGGAAAAAAAATTTATATAAAATTCTCAAGACGCAAATTTCTATTTTTCTTTCCATAAAAAAAATTTGAAAATCTATTTTGATATAAAAATCTTAAATTCTTTACATATATATAAATTAATATTTTATAAAGAGGGAATGTCTTTATTCGAAGATAAGAGATATCGCGATCGAAAATATTCACGAACCAAGTATCGTAAGCATACCTACCTACCCACGCCGGCCCTGATTGAAAGGCAGAGCGAGAGCGAGCACGACGAGAACTCGACAGAAAAAGAAGCGGGTGGAGGAGGAGGAGGAGGAGGAGAAGGTGGTACGTCGGGCGAAGTGAAGAGGAGGTGAGGTGAGCTGTGCAGAGCATGCGGTGCACCAGACAAAAAACGATGAGCCGCGGTGGGGACCAGACGAGGGGCAAAAACACGCGACGAGGCCCAAAGCCCAGGCGCTGCGGGCCCCTCGTTTGAACGGTTCTCCCTCTCTCATTCGATGAACACTGCGTACGTGTGTGCGTATGCAACGTATGCACTGCGCGGCTTCGCCGAGTGCATCCACGAGCATCGCGATACGATGACCGAGACTCCGCGATTGTTCGAGCTAGGGATGTTGAAAAGAGAAATCGACAATCGTGTATACATATGTATATAATTACTCGTAAAAAAATATATTTGCATCGATACTTTTTTACTCATGATTTTCGAAAATTTTCTCTTCATCGTAAATATCTTTGGAATTTAATTTATTAATATATTATAGAAAACAACTAGAGACTATAGTTGCAGAATTGAATATGAAATTTAGTAAAATTTAACATAATATTAGCGATAAGAGTACAAAGTCTCTTCATAGTTTACGATCAATTCAACTTGGAGACTCAACTCGATTAGCCCAACGATTAGGCTATCAACAACGTACCGTATATGCGTCAGTGTACATTTCCCTCGAGAATGAGTCGATGTTATAGAACGGCGCGATTGCGAGGGCCCTCGGTCTTATCTCGAGCTTTCTTGCTCTCCGTTATCACGTCGTCCGGATTCGCCGCTCTTTGTGCCGAGTCTTGAGTGCCGCCTATTTGGAGTGCCGCGAGACAAAGAGCGCATCGCTTCGCACTCGCTTGGAGAAGACTAGCAGCGGCCTGGACGAGACAAGGTGCGCCTCGCGTACGAGGATAGATTGGAAAATAGAGTCGGATAATAGGCGCGCACACAGACGTTAACGAGCAAGAGGGAGAGACAATACGTCCCGTCGTCGTCGTTGTCGTGATCTACGAGTTGGAGACTGCGAGGTACCTGGCGACCGCGATCTTTCGATTCCTCGCGATAAACTAAAAGGACATTTGCTTTTCTCATCTCGAAGATATCGATTCGTCAAAGTAATTCGTCAAAAATTATACAGTTTAGAGAAGAAGTTGGAGGCAACGTTCTTCTTCATTACTCTTGAGCAGTATTTTATAGGATGTCTTCTCGCTTTGAATTTTAATGAAAGAGATCCTCGAAGAGAGAGGGATTAAAAATCTTTGATCGATTACTCTCGGATAGAAGCTATTAATATTCCGCGATAAGCAATCAGATTTTAAGAGAGATATATAGCGAATATTTGCCCGACAAAGAATGTTGTAATTAATCGACGGCAAGACTTTCGGCAATTTTGCGACAAAGACGGATCGCAAATAAGAGAAAAGAGGGGAAAATCGAGAAATGATGGCACGTGCAGTACGAGCCGGCGCGTCTACCCGGTGAAACGCGACGCCAGACTAAACACTAATACGGATATCGGATTCCGAAAGACGCTTAAACAATGACTTTTTAAATTTTAAAATAGTCCGCGGGGTCGTGTTTCCCGCTCGTATTTTGTTGCCATGTGCATTACGACGAATATTCGTAGGATGTCACGAGAGACGGCCTGTCGGGTTAAAGCATCTCGGCGCACGATTGTAACGCGTTACTTTGTTAACTAAATCACGCGGCGAGGGATTTAATGTGTCCTCTTTTTTTCAGCTATGGAAAATCGGAGCAAAGTTTGCATCCGTTCAATAGAAATTTAAAAGAAGACATATGATTCTCGCGATTTTTGTCACTATATTATTCATTGTATATGAACAGCTTCTCATTAAAACATCTTTAATGATCGCTGTTGAACGGTCTACGTCTGTCGAAACTGTCCTTAATGACTTTCTCGATTCATCTTTCGATAGCGAGGATTTCACAGGCTATCGAACCTCTTGGAATCAATCTGTTTGCTCCTCAACTTTGCAAAAATTTTAAACAAAGTTGACGTGGAGAGCAAAGAGCCGCTGTGAAATTAATTTGATTTATTTCTGTTTTTTCTTTTCATTTCGACACGAAAGAATAATTTTTTTTCAGTCCTTTTTCCAGTTCACCGGCGAGTAAAAGGGTTAAACGGCGGTCGCGAGCGAGGCGGCGAAAGAAAGGAGCAAACTTTTAATCGATCCTCCGCGCGGCGAGGAAGGTTAAAAAACGACTCGCACCCACGCAACGGCTGTCCACGTGCGGGAATGTGTAGGTGAAGCGTATACGGAGGGAGGATAGGGGGATGAAGGAGGAGAAGGAGGAGGCTGTCGTGGAGAGTGCCGGTACGGTCAGGTTGCGAGGACC